CTCAGTGTGCTGCTTAGTTATGGCCACCGGTGCGGACACAGAATGTGTGGGCTGGCTGCTAATCCAGCAGTGATAGGGTCACATCCTTGTGCTTAGTCTGTGTTCTGATCCTCCCCTTTCCCTGTCGCATCCTAGAGACTTGCATTTCATTTGCAAGCCCCTCGGGTGCAGTGTGGGAAGTGGCTCTGTTGCAAGGCCCCTGGGGAAATTTCCGGGGGGGGGTGGGGGGCGGAATGCTGCCTCTCTGACCCACCCTTTCCCAGGACAGGAAATTTCTCTGTTGTGTCCCAGGAGCCCTGTGCACAGAAACTACAGCCCATGAGAGCACACCTCTCAGCCTAGAGAGCAGTGGAGAAGTGGGGTTCTGCCTCCTGAAATTTCTCAACTGAAAGTGGGCCATAATGAACCAGATGATGTTATGGGGCAGCCCACTTAGCCGATCTGTTACGGCCCATGCAAAGGTTCCCCATAGCCCCCTGAGACCTTATTCTGAGGACACGGCTTTGATGCTGAACTTTTGGCAGAGGCCATGTCCAAAATCTACACATCCTGATCGCTCCTTGCACTAGTCTGTAAATAAGAAAGCCAGATCACTTCAGATTTTACCAACCTTCATAGTAGTAGTTGTTGGGGTTTGGGGTTTTTTGGTATTTTTCATATGTGCATGTTGTGTGTGTGTCTGCGTGTCATGGCGACCTCTGGTGACTGACCCCTACTGGGGGCCTGGGGGATATTCAGAGAGCTGGTTGAATAAAGCCTGCCCCCGCCTCCCGACTGCTGGTACTCCAAAGAGGTCTCCCATCCAAATACGTGCCAGGGCCGGCCCTGCTTAGCTTCCGAGATCTGACGAGATTGGGCTTGCCTGGTTACTGCTGTCCTTGTTTGCACCACCGCTGCCATTTTGGTGAAGCTTCTTTTCCAAAGAGACAGCACCAAGGCCTTGGAGATCACGCTGTTAAAGAAACAATTGCTCCAACTCCAACATGGGCAGCCTTTCTCAGTTCCTGCCATTCTATCTCATCTGCTTGCCCCCTCCTGGGTTCCACCCAACTGGTAAGCCCCAAAGATGGTTATGTTTTTGGTACCAAGCAACCCAATTTTGATTATTTGGGATTTGTGTGAGCCTTTGCTATTTCTAGACTTACTGGTGTGTTGTTTGTACAGGGGGACTTTGTCCCATATGTGTGTATATATTGTACAGAAAGCCACTTAAGCTGGGGTTTCCTTGAATTCATAATTTGGGGGGGGGGGGGGAGACTGAAGAACAATTTAACATCCATGATGCATTCAAGATCAAGTCAGCTCTAAACCTATGCTAGACAAGGGGATGCTACCGCCAGGCAGGGAAAGTTGCCATCACTTCCTTGCCCAGCATAACGTGGCTGGTCTTCTAACACAGCAGGCAGATGATCAGGTGGAGACCCAGCAAAATCTGAACCCAGGACACCCGTGAAGGTAATCACGGCCCCAACAAGCTGGCCATCCTCACTGCCACATGCCTGCAACTCCTTTGTAAGGTCTTGTTTACGGGGGGGGCGCATTATAAAGGACATGTAACAAAATGGGATTTATTGTGATTTTGGATTTTGCGTTTCCTGTAGGTTATGTAGCCATCATGTACATGCTAATGTTGGATTAAAGTTCATTGACTGCATCACAAGTTTACACGGCACAAAATTGCTGGCTCAAGGCTTCAAGGGGCCGGTGGAAGGTATGCCAAGCTAACTTAGGATAGGCTTCTTTTCAGCCTGCCTTTTTTGAAACTCCTTGGCTGCTTCTTGACACAAGATCCAATGCTGGGGGCATGTGTCTCGGGGGCGGGTTAGTTGTCCCCCCAGAATTGCCTTCTACTTGTCAGAAAGATTTGCCCCTGACCTGAGTGAAAATCTGGAACTGGTGCATGGTCCCACACTAGCGATGGCTGCTGATGCACCAGCCAGACTTGCCAGAACTCTCTGATCCATGAAAGGGGGAACATTTTAACCTTCCAGGACATTCAGTTGCTGACCTAAGAGTAGCAGTTCCTTTGCATAGGCATTTCAAAGGGAGATTAGAAAGAGAGACTGCTGAATTGCAACTGACCATGAAGCTCAAGACAATGCAAACTCCTGGACTGAACTGAGACCTAGGTTGTTTCTCTCATTAACAATTCCTGCTATTGTCATACGGCATCTGAAAGCACTTCATTCACTCTCCAAGATATAAGGAGAGATGGATTCACATTCCAGCTGTATATGAAGAAGTGAGCAGTGACTCATGCCCTGCCACAAATTTTGTTAGTCTTTTCATTAAGGTGCTGCTGGACAGTTGCTTCCTTTCACTCATGAATGCAAACTGCACTGTTAGGTCCCCCCCCCCCTATCAATTCGAAAAGCAAAAGGGAATCCAT